TCTTTATTAAATCAATAAACCGATATATCTTCAAATACAAGTAGAGTACAATACAGAAATGGACAAGGCAGATTGTACATAATATCAAAAGAATTATACATTACATTTTTTTCAAATGCAATAATATGTCCTTCGGTGTAGGATTACTATTTCATTCAATTATTTATATGTACTACAATTTCAGTAAGAAAGAAGCATGCTAGAATTGATAGCTTATAAATAGAACTTAGCGTTTATGGAGTATTGATTATTAATAACATGAAAAACCGAACTTGATTTTTTAACACAACTGTTTCGAGTGCTGTTTTTTTTCTCTAACATTGTGTTAAAGAAGCTTTTGCTGTACAATTCATAAAAAAAAAAAAAATAGATAAAATTCAACTTTTCATTCTTGTAATTTAAATATAACAGCGACTATCTATTACAAACCATTTGCTTTTTTGAGTTAGTTCTAAGGTCCAAAACCAACGTAGTACGTTCCCGAGGATTGCAATTTATTAGAAATTCTTCCTGTGTCAGTCTATTTGTCAAGGTTGTACCGCTGGCGGGCGTAGGTGTTGGGGTCAAAGGTCTTGAGTCTGTCTCGGTATATTTCCGAAATAATTCTTCAGGAACGGTAGCCGCATCGTTGGTTACTTCTGTTCCAATGTTTCTACCCACATTTACAGCATTGCCTACGGTTACTAAATTTGCTCTGATCATATCCATTTCTTCCGACAATAATAAAGATTTTCCTTCAGTTGCCTGTAGAATACGAAAGGAAAATTGTGTAAATTTTTACATTTGACTTACTATTTATTATTAATTATTATTAAATATTAAATTTCGCTAATATTTTTAAAATACTTTAATCCAGTGTCTAATATGTAAAGTATATTTCTCAAATATATCTTGATTGTTTGTATGTAAAATACAATCATTAACCATCCGTAGATAATCTAGGTCTCTGATGACCCAAGTGAAATTTCACTCCCGTATTTCTTCGAAACGAATTTTTATCTTTATTGACAAAAGTTTGAAACATTTCACTTAACGAACAATTGTATAATACTGTAAAGACTTTGATAACTACTCCAGAATTTTTTCAGATTTTTTGAAAGTTTGAAACAGTAAAATATTTATATTTAGTTTACTTACGGAGTGTGAAAATATATGTTTACCTACGGAGGGTTGAAATACTGAATTATTAGTATTTATAAACAACATGTTTGTGTTAATTTATATCAGGAACTTGTACAATATAATTATCAAAATATCAATTATATATTATGTACAGAGTTTGAATATTTAAGAAATCACAGATGCATAATTATGCATATTTTTCTCAAGATTATGTAAGATGTAATCCTCATATAATTTTTCTTCTTTTCATTCTCTATTCCTTGTTTCCGTTTCGTTTGCTTTGCTTTTGTATCTAACCCTGTGATTTTTAGCTATCTGTATTATGAATGGATCTTTCCATAAATAAATAAACAAGAAGTGTAATAACATTAAAGAAATTTTAAAAATTCGTGATATCGAAGATACTTTTCAGCACAATGTACATTGTAAGTACGATACCACAGAGTATAATCTAAAAATATATAAGAAATAAATACACTATATTAATGAATTAATTTGCGTGATATTGCTGTAAAAATACGATTTTTTACCCATGAATCTTTAGCTCGCCTAAGAACTTCTTTTGCTTCACTATCTGCTGGATGATTGCATAATACAGAACAGCCATACGGATATGGATTGAAGAGGCTAGAAAAGGGTCGAAGGATAAAGGGTGCTGGTTTCGTAGAACCAGAAAGCTCCACGCGCTGGAACACATAAAATATTTATATTTTGATTATTACTTTCCTTCTATAAATCAAATTTAACTTTACAATTCTTCTTTATTACCATACTTTCCTTCTTCAAGCTGTTTCGATATGAACTTCAATTTTCCTAAAGTTACGTATTAACATGAATCTTATAATAAGATAAAAAAATTTTAATAAATCTCAAATTAGATTACGAGTAAAACTAAATATGTAAGTGTCAGACTTTTACGAACAAACTTCGAAAGCGTATAAAGTCGGCCAAAATGTTCTCGCCTTGTTTTCAAGAAATAGTAATTATAGTTATTTTATATAGAATACAAAATATTCAAATAGCTGTTCAGGAGTACGATTATCGAACGGTAAAGAAGGATAACAAAATTTCGAAAGTAGCAAAGAACTCGGTATGAATTTGTCGAATTCGTTATTTAAAAATTAGTATTACTGCTTTATACGCGAAAACGCTTCGTTTTTTTTTTTTACGTCAAGAACCCACAGTGATTCATTTCGTTCTGATCTTTAACCTTTGAACGGCAGATGCCGGGTCACCCAACTTTTAGATGTTTCTTGTTTCAACCGGTATTCGAAACAGGGTCAAGATTCTACTCTCCTCATATAAATGTGTTTGCTATTTCAATCGTAATATATTTGTATAATTTTAAATAATATAATGTCTAGTAAAATTGAAAAAAATATGGTTTCGCTTGCGTATGAAAAAGATTTTAGCATTGAGTCATATTTGACCCGTTATCCACCGTGCGCGCGACTCTCACGCCATCTATCACAGCGACTATCCGCTGTTAAACAATATATTCTAATCGACTGCAACAATTTCATATCCCAATATTTCAGAAACGAAGCGATAATGAACGTATGTATATCTATACAATATTTTTTATCAAGTACGATTGCATTTTAAACAAAAAGAACAATAAAATTAGGAAAAATTTACATATTAAATATTTTATAAACAAAGAATGGAAATATGTATGTATAAAATATTATCAAATGGTCAATATTAATCTAATTGCAATTTAATTTTAGTGTAACAAATTTATAACGAATGTAATCTAATTATATTCTATTTACGATCTAACAGTAGTCTAAACAGAGTCGCAATTTAGTTACAATATAATCACAGTTTGTGCGCGACTTAGTTAAAATAAAATAACGATCTAATTGTGTTACATTCATTTAATTATAGTGCAATCCTAATATAACAATTTTGCAGCTGTTTGAGTTTCATTGTGACGAACAATTGAACTGCTATTAAATTACAATATAACCGAATCGTAATAAATATAACAATTTTTTTACATTTGCGCTAATCAAACTACTATTTTACGTCTTCGATAGATATTCATAGTAATTTAGAAAATATAATTTTCTTAACAAATGACATAGTAATATCTTTTCTTCAAACAAGTATGTATGCATATTCGAATTAATAATTTCTTATGACAATGTAAAAATGATTAAAATATTCAATACTGCGTTGCCTTACGGTATTTTCAATTTGTTGTATATGGAATAATTAAACACGAAGTTTTTTCAATTATTTCGACAAATTAAAAAGTTGAAATACGTGCGTCGAATTATATCTTATTGTGATACTTCAATGTTAAGTTACATAATCTATTATCTATATCATCAGTTAATATTCTTCATCGATTTTATAGCTGCTTTTGAAAATAAATAATTTGTCGAAAGAATGTTAAAACATTAGCAAAATACAAGAGTTTATAGATGAGTTCTCGCATTAATTCATCTAATTTATAACACGAATTCCACTTATTATGTATGTTTCATTAGATGCAATTCATTTATTAATAGTTTCTTTTAATAAATACCTTCGGTTTAGGTCGATAGATTGGTCGAATGCGTGCTTCTAAGAGGCCTGTTGCACTTGCAAATCCCGGCATTATGTTGCATCAAACAATCACTACTATAGGACATATCACCAACTTTATTACCGAAGTGTGAATAAGTCAGCCGTTGGTTGTCTTGGAGGCACGTTGCTACCGTGCATTTGATGGATCGATTGAAGAAGTTCACGAATTTCTGTGAACTTTGATGGGTCGACATTTTGTCGACTGTTAGAAAAATGTTTCCTATGTGAAAATTATTGTTTATACGTTCTGTACTTATACGATTGTGAATTAACGTAAGATTCATATAATAATTCTGTTCACTTTAATTCTGCAGTTATTTTCTTTATTTTAAATTAACTTAAGTTATATTTTACATTAATTAATTTGACTTCATATTTTCGCGCTCTTTATTTTACTGTTATTAAATAAGCAACTGTAAAAAGAAACCAGTTCTATTGATAGATTTTAGATTATAAGGGAGAGAAGTTTTTTTTGTTAGTGTGAGAAGTATGTCACAACCTTTTAGAAAAAAAAAAGAATAGATTGAAAATAGGTATTTGATATGCTCAAAATAATATTTTTCACATAGCTGCTTTTCTTGTTCACTTTATGTTTTTCCAAATGCATTATGACCGTCTTCTAGTGTTTTTAATGTGTTCGAACAGTTTTCATGGATTAAAGAAAAAAGGAACATTAAAATGTAGAAAAGCATTTTTTAGGTTTGGTGTGAAATAAAGAATGAATACTACAATTGTAGAACGTAAATAAGAATGAAAATTAAACGTAAAGAAACAAAGTTGAACAACATTCAACAAATAATGCAATAGAATAATTACAAGTAGTTTGTTTATTTATTTTTGATATAATACATTTAATACTCTTGTATTTATATATTTTTCGTAGTATTTAAACCTTAGTCATGTGTTCCAGGAAAGGATGTTCTTGGTAATGTCCAGGGTACTTTTTCTTATATTTCAAACCAGTTACGATAGTAGAGCTCTTCGGAAATGCTGTTTTCCCGTTAAATAGTGTATCCGTATCTAAAATAATATTGCTTATTGTAGTATTTAACATTTAAATAATAATACAATGATAATAATAAAGATTCAAAAATGTTTATTTTAATTGTCATCTGGTCTTTCAAAATTTTGAATTAGAGAAATATAGATTTTCTGTATTTAAAATTGAAGTTTGATATGTAGATTACATGATTAAATATGTATGGCCTCAAAGAATAACCACAATTTTATCGATCATTTAGAAATAAAAAAATATAGTTGCTTCGTATATTATTAGATCTTTAAATACATTTTAAACAAAGAGTAGAGAGGGTTACTAAACAATGGAAAAGCGATAAGGATTTAAATTGTGACAACTACAATTAACTCGTGTGTAGATAAGTTTTTGAACACTGTATGCCTCTACCAAATTATTTAAATCAAATTTGCATAGATGAATCTTTCAAATGGGCTATTAATACATACAAAGAAGAAAAAGAGGACGCAAAACTTGTGATTCTTTAAAAACATTGTATCAAAATTTCTATATTAATTTTTGAGTAGATACTTTTTGATATTATCTTATTGGTGATATAATACTGCGAACTGTAAAAGAGTTTTGTCCCCTCCTTTTTCTTTTTTTTTTGATCAAATTATTTAAGGAATTCATCCTGGGATACGGGACTTCAATAATACAGAATTAAAAAGAACGCTGAAGATGATTTTAATTTTCTTAATGAATTGGATGAACTTAAAAACTAAATTAAGCATGACGAAACTTGGATTCTGACTGACATGAGTTACAGAGAGCTTTTGCCCTTTGTCTCTTGAATAGTGAAAAAGAGGAAACTACCAAACGTGTCTATTGTAATCCCCCTAAGTGCCTAACCAAATTCAGACGTCACGCGTTCCCATCTACCTGAGAGCGTTTAAAGACACGAGCCAGCTGCGACGCTATAATTTGTCAAAACTCTCGATGGTCGAGATTCAAAAATTTTCTTTACTCTTCACATTTCGTGTCTCAGTTTGTGTCCAGATCATTGCATTGAATCTGGACGACCTTTGTTACTATAATTTAGTAATGACCAGACAACATTCGAGGACTACGTCTGGATTTCCTCTATTGACCTTTACTTCAACGTTCTTTTCCTTGTTGGGCATAAATAGTATATGTATATATGGCGATTCGTCACTGACGTAATAATAGCATTAAATGAGCCACTCAAAAGCTAAAATGATTAACTCCACTTTTTGATATTCTTCTAATTTTAGTATTAAAGCACATGCTTGGTGCTTAATTTTTCAGAAATAAAACAAATTTAATAAATTGTATTTCATGGAGGGAATCACTTTGGATTCTGAGTGGCTCAAATACCACTATGCCGATTAATAAATATTTAATTAAAATCACTTACCAGGATGGAATCGAACATACTCATAATTAATATGTAAGTTCTCTGGTAAATCCATGTTGCGCATGAGATCCAACGGGGTTTGATTACCGACTGGTGTTTGATAATATTCTTTTAAATCACCTACAACATATAAAAATATTTCATAATTTAGTGAAAATATTTCATAAATATAAAATATTTATGCATTTAAATTCCAGTGAAATTATTTAATAACAACATTTTTATAACTAAATTATATATTAAAGCCAAATTATATTTGGCCACAATTCAATTCGCAACTAATATAAAACAAACTTTAGAACAATTTATATTATTAAATAATCAAATGTTAAATTGTAAAATTAATTAAATGTAAAAAAGGAGAAATCTTCCGATATAACATGGGTTCTTACAAAATTCTTTTTACGACACTATTACTATCTCCCTATTTATAAAAAAATACATATCTAAAAAAATATGTAATAGAAAACAAGAAAAATGTACGCAACACTAAATATTACATTTTAGTCTAATTCGTAAACCTTTATGTTACACAGATTAAACTGTTAGCAATAAAAATGTATTTTGATAAATCAATGAAATATCGATAGTTCGTTAATCGATATGTGTAATATAAAGTTTGTAAAATTAGCATAAAACTTACAACCGAAAAAATAAAAAATATAGGATAAACCTAAATGATAAAAAAATTATTGGTTAAATATATCATAATACGGTTTACGATTAACCAAAGATACTTACGCCAAATTTTGTATTAGATTGAAAATTAAGGTAATTTCAAATTGTTGGAACTTCTGATTAAGAACAATTATTGAAATTTATTTTTGTAAATAAAAAATAAGTATAATGAAAATTTTCTACGAAATTTACCAATCGTTTCGATAGAATATAGCATAGAATTCATCAGCGGATGTTTAAATTCTTGTTCGCATGCTACGAAAAGATTGAAACGCTGCAACGAATCTTCCAGTTTTGTTTCATCTGTTGTTGAAACTTGTTGTGTTTCGCAAATTTTGTTTATCCTGTCGAATACATCTTTTGGCGGATTGTATTCGTTCCGATATCTCAGGAATCTAAAACAATTGGAATAATTTTTGTTTAAGATATGTTAAAACGTAACATAACAATCATAAGATTGACCACTGTTTTAAATAAAAGCTGTTTATTATCTATAAAATCTCAAATAAGGAAACATTTATTTAAAGCATATTAAAAAATTAACAATTAAAATCTGTGTGCGGATGTTCTAAAATTTTATATCACATTTGTACAGTAGCTGATGTTGCGAATACAAACTTTTGAAAATTACATCTTTTTTTCTTTTGTTGTTCTTATCTCAAGTACTTTTATAACTTTATTACTTGGAATTATCGTAGCAAATTTAAAATTTCATTAAAAAAAAACAAATTTTTATTGTATTAACAAACTTCAAAACTTAAAGAAAAATGTTGACTGATATTCTTCTAGCATTAGTAATTAATTCAAATAATTCTTCATTTCATTTAATATTTTTCAATAATTAATTACTATCTCATTGTAACAAAAAAAAAGGAGATTTCTGTTATAATAATAATCTTCTATTCGGCAAGTCAGTTGTGTTATTCCGAAAATAATAAAAAAATTAAAAACAAAATATCAAAAATAATATCCTAAATCAATACCATAAAATACCAAAAAAATTTTACCAATTTTATAAAAATTGTGCAAGTAAAAGCAAAATTACAAGTTGCGGTTGCAAATAATATTATCATTTAAATTATGCATGATATTGCAGAAAAAGTATTAAACACCTCTATCGAAATTACATTATCGTCTTCTTGCGATCTCGCGCCCATAACACTACGTCAATGAACGCTCATTCATCGATCGATAACGGCATCGTGGGGGGATCACACGCTTGTGTGCATTGTATCATTAGAAATGTAAGTCCATCGAACCACACAGTGTTATTGGCGCGAGATCGCAACGACATCGTATCGTTCGTGTGCACCCAGCTCCAAAATTTCTATCTTGTTTTTAACTGAACTGTCCAAATGTTGAAAATATCGATTTTACGAGAAGCACCTAACCTCTCTATTTCGTAAAACATGTATGTACTTCGATAAAATGCCAAGTGTTATAATTTATGACGCAAAATAACCGTGAATTTCTGTATCTATACTTCATTTTACTGTAATATTTCATCATTCAAATTGTGTAATTATTTTTAAAATATTTTATAGGTTAGAAAATTTACAATGAAATTAAAACGCATAATTTATCAAAGATTCAGAGATTCAGACTCAATAATAATCCAATAAAAACAAAAATGACTCGCGAAATGTTGCTTCGTGAAAGAATCAATTATTATCGAACACTTTTTTAATATTATTTGCAGAATTGATTTTCGATATTATTAATACGTACATAGCTGTGATGATATTTTTCATGTACGGTAATTTCTTTCTTTTTTTTTCATCTATTATCATATAAATTTTAATAAGATTATCACCAAAAAGATATTAACAGAACTTTAATATTGAACTTTAATTTCATTTTCGATTATCGACAGAAAAATGTCAGGGTTACTAAAATAAAGTACTGTTTTTTCATTTTTACAACAAACTGATTAAAGTATTTAAAGTTCGTTGTAAGAATCACGAATGTCATTGAACTATAGCAACTTTTAGAATAACACTTAAATATTTTTCTAAATGTAGTGTTAGTATTAAATAATATTTAATACGTACATTTGATTATAAGTTATGAACTTAGATATAATTCAATTGTGAATTAATAGCAAAGAAATTTTTTTATAGTGAGAGTTTAAACGAACATAACATACAAGGAATAATAAAATGTGAAAATTTCGTAAAGAAAGACCCTAAGAATAAGTGAAACGCATTTGATATTTCTTCAAATCGTAAGAAGTTCGCGAAAAACGATAACTTTAAGAGAAGTCGTAGAATTTATCCAAAAACGACAAAACTAAACAGATTCCAGTTATCGCAATAAAAAACCATTCCTTTTGATTAAGTGTCACTTACTTAATAAATTATTTATTTGTTTTACAAAACCATCCAGACACAACATACTCTTTTACCTATATATTAGAGCGAAATAACAGAACAAATAATCAACTTAATGTTTGCGTTAACATAATTCATTCTTGACAGACCATAAACGTAAATCAATCACAAACCATGTTAATCGTAGCTCGATAAAACAGTGCGAAATTGAGAGCAATTTGTAAGAATTTACATCTTTCTTATTGAAAGACTATAGTACACAACAACTATTCCGAAAGTTTTAAAAACCAAACCACGTAGTCAATGGAATAATTCTATTATTCGCGTCAATATTATAAACATCCTACCTATCCTACTGTGGATCAAACTCCAGATTTAAGTAGTCAATAGGTATTAGTTTTAAATTCTCGAGTTAACATTTAAAGTATTTTTCATTCTGTCGTCATAACAGTATGAGATATATTATAACACAGTTGTTATTTCACAGTTGTTTCCCTCAAATTTTATATTCCTTGTTGTTTTACACGGATTTTCTGAAAACTATTTTTATCAATAGCCATTGATTTCGCTTGTTGCAAATCAATATCGTCTCTTCTAGACTATCTCTACACGACTCGTGTCAAACTTTTCGTACTGTATAAAAGACTCTAGTTACGAAGCGCGACAAGGGAGGCTACCCTTATAAGAGGAAGGCAAAGAAACGTCGGGGGAGGAGAGGGGACAAGATCGATGTCCAACGACCGTACAGTGGTGCCCTCAGTTGAATTTTCTCAGGATACAGTTATGGCCAATATTGGCCAGGAACGAAGCCGTACATGGTGAAACCCCGTAACTAGGAAAGTTTCTAATACATCAGCGAAAATTCTACGCCGTGTTAAAATAATAACAACTACTTAGTGAGAGTTAAAAATTGACGAGCAGTATAACACGAATGCAACTTTGACAAACAACAAACTATATGCGTATGTTTCATGTTTCTTTTTTAACAACAGCAACTATTAAAATGCAATTCAAAGGAAATTACTTCTTCACGGAAACTAGAGCGCAGTTTTCTTTCATTAAGCGTAATTCTTGATCTATGTAGTGAGAGACAGGCGATAGTTTGTCAATGTTAATTACAAGGACGGAGAAACTTGGTCTTCGAAACAGGTGTTCTCAATGAAAACTGGCACAGTCAGAGAATGAAAACATGCAGGAACTAAACCATTTTATGCATTTTGCTTTCGCCTTAAATGTACTATTCCTTAGAGTTCTATTTCAGTTAATAATTAAACGTTCAAACTACATTGTGTTCGTAATAAACATTAGTGAAGTTAAAATTTCATACGAACACATACTTTAGAAAAAACTTTCTTTTCTATATGATAAATTACAATTAAATAAAAGTAGATTATAGAATACTTTTAATAGATTTGATATATCTTCCGAAAATAGAATGTCCTCCTCGATGTAATAACGTATCTTAAAAGTATCGCAACGAATGAGAATTCTGGTGGACAACGGAAAATTTTATATAGCGGTACAAAAGGGTATGGCACAAGTTGTTACGTCACATATAAAGGAAGAATGAAATTCAGCTTGTGGATAAATTGCAAATCTGAATCAATTTGATGTCGGAGTATCATTTCACTCGAATCAGATGATACTCCGAAAAAGTTGTTGTTTCAATTAATATACCTGCACAATATTTCATAAAATGGAACTGATTTCGAAATTTGGAATAATTACGTGTAGAATTTTCAAACAATTTTAATCGGCAATTAAATTCGATAAAAATATTACTCAAACTTTGTTAAAATTTAGTTTGATTGTATAATATCAGGTATCTAACAATACATGTGTATTTGACAATTTATACATTCACATTTTATTCATTGCTGTACAACTTGATAGTAGTTTTGTTTCAAGATACTTATAAAAGTTTTTAACATACTGTTTTCTTAAAATCCTAATCGACTCCAAAATAATAATGTATTAAGAAGTAGTTCGTAAAAAGTAGAAATATGTTTCGTTAATTTTAATTTGAAAAGTAATGTTATTATGTTTTAAATAGCAATAATATTATAACAGATTTTTTCAAATTTCAATAGTGTTTACGACATTCTCGATTTCATTCCTAGGCACATGTATCTATTAAAGGAAGAATTGTAGAAAAACTTGTGAGAAACGAGGGTACTGGGAACGCGTAGGTCTGCCCTGAGAAGCTGTCAAATCTAGCAGTTGATTGGTTGGCGCGTGAAAGAGAGGTGGTAGACGGCAATATGGCCACAGTGTGTCCTCTGCCAGTTAGCCAGCAGCGCAACGTAACGCGAATATTTCGATCGAATTCGTGTGTAAGCTGACTAAATTACTTACCCTTTGGCAGCGAGAGACCTGGTTTCATTTTCGAACAATTTAGCTTTCTGTGGAACCTGTTTAACCCGTTTCTTGCTCTTAAAACGTGTTATATCGTACCGCAGACTCGTCTGTAAAATGACGGTGGTCTCATTAGTGCATATAGTATATGAATTGAACGTTTTCATTCCTAGTCGGGAATGTTATGTGATAATGGTGATTAAAAAGTGTACATAAAGTGTCTACACTAACCGTGTTTACGGAAAGAATAGTAGATAAACTTTTTAAAGGATTCACGAGTAAACCATGCCTGATGAGCGCCGCCATCTTCTTCCTTGTCGTCGAAGCAAACTGCGCGAGTGAGCAGTAGGGTGCGCCTCGGGCGGCTGCGCTTGTTGTTTCCCATCGTCCGCCATTTTACGGTCGCCATTGAGAAGTGAAAACCCTCCTAAATGTTCTCGAATAATAGAAGCCTCGCCGTGTGATTTTCGGGGCTGAGAGAGGCGCGCCGCCGCGAGAAGTGTTGCTAATGAGTGTACGGCGTACGATGGAGAAGCCATGACGCATCCGTCGCATCAAACGAACGGCGCTAGCCTGGAGGACTGCCACACGAATTTCTTCGCCTTGGTGAGTGATCAGTGAGCCCACTCTTCGTAAGAGTCGGTGCGTATATCTACTCTGTGTTTGGAGATTTGGACGAACGGAGCTTTTGTTTTTAAAACTGAAACCAATTGTCTAATGACTGTTTAACGGTACCGCGTAAAGTTGCGAAGAGAAGTCACCCGGGTTAACCTATATATCGGAGAATTCCCGTGGGCAGTACTCGATCGTTCGTTGTCGATGTCGGTGTTGTGTATCGCGGCACTCCCCTCTCCTCCCCTCTCCACCCCTCCCCGTTCTACTGTGCATATATATGTGTATGCGTGTATATACATAGCGTACATAAAAGTACATAACATACAATATGTATGTTACACATATATATGTACATAGGTACGTACATGGGCACATAATATGTGCGCAAGCGTGTATGTGCGCGTCAGTGAGATTTGAAGTTTATGCGACCCAATGTCATGCCTGATTCATGTCGGCCCTGAGTTTTCCACTCGTGAGAGAATTAAGGAGGTTGCAGCAGGGCTGACCGGTGGCTGTTGCATCTATCCTTTGATCATAGTGAATATTATTGGACTATTCATTGTGTGTGCGATGTGCAATTGGTGTTCTGGTGGTGATTTCTCGATCAACTGTTGAGAACGCGACGCTTTCGTCTCCTCTCTCGACAAATAACGTGATCGTCTCTCGTAACATTCCTTTCGCCTTTCAACGGAGCCAGAAAACTGTGTCAGACATTGTTTGCACCGCTCGAAAGTCCTCGTCTGCTTTGATCCAGCGAATCTAGGAACTCTTTTTCGTTGAACCCGACGAACCTCGAACGAACTTGTACGATACATACCAACCTATCGATATATATGAATTCTTCACACTCTGCACTTCTACCTGTCTACAGGATGTTTCAAAAATAGGTGGCAAAATTGTCGAATACGAAGGAGGTTATTTTACTCCATTTCGAATACAAAGCAAGTTCAATGGATATATATTTCGGTTGAATTAAAACTAATCTTCGTTTGTGCGTTTGAAGTTTTTAAAAATACCTGACATATTTGTGAAATTGTGGTTGAATGTTGTTTCTGGTGTGGATACGCGATCGAAGATAATTCACACGTGACGAAGATTCATTATATTTTTCCCTTTATGCATGCTGCTAGGAATATTCCTGACAATATACTTTTATAACCTCATACCTGCACTTACGAGTTTAAAATGAACGACGTGAGCAAGTGAACTGTTTTTTAACTGTCCACGAAGTGATATCGCTTATTCGAATATATTATTATGAAAATGAGTCGCGTTCGCGCTTATATGTCGTGTAGTTAAAAAATATTTTCACTCTGGTTAAATTATATTACTTATTTGTTATTTGATAATACAAAGGTCAGTTTGGAGCATATGGTCAAAGAATCCACTGAATATCTCGAGTTACAAATCAATAATAGCACTAAAAAAAATTCTCGATACGTAAATCGTATTAATTGTCACAATGCGCACATTCATATGCGTCAATGAAATACAAATATTATATTTATGTAAATCAACAGCCATTGAAAAATTTCATAAATACTGTTCGCGATATTTCAAGATGGTCGTTATGTTTTATCAAATGGATAGGAATATGTTGATCTCAATTAATACACGTAAAAAATAATTAACAATTTGAAAGAAAAGATATTTTTTTAGAAAATATCTAAAGAATTTTCTTTTATCGGCAGAATACGCTTCCGACTTTGGCCACCTATTTTAAAAACGACCTGTACACAAGGCCTCTAGGCTGTCTCTCCCTCTTTCTCTCTCCTTTTTGACCATGCAGTATGCGCGCAGCTCATGTATATACATATTTATCGCAGGTATAACGGTGAGACAGACACATTTTTCTGTTACACTCGCAACGCACCGCATTCCCCCAAACAACCGATCAAAACACCCACCTTTGAATGAGCTTACTAGCGTTCATTTAATTTCTTTTTTTTTTTTAATTTCGTAACTAACATTCATTTTCGCAATTGTAGAACAAAAACTAATTTTGGAGCTGGTTTTAGGAAATTTTCCAAGTAAAATGTCACCAAAATAACATACTTGACAAAGTTCGCGATAAACGTTGTTAAATTAAATTATTGAAAGATCGAGCTTGACGAAACGTTAGTACTCATTTATTGATCTCGACTTCCATTATTTTATTTTCATAGTTTTCTCGGTTATACGGCATGTGTCCGCTGCGATTGTTTAAAATTCAGAATAATTTTGTCGTCCATCCTGTCAGACCTACTCTGATGGTTACAAGAAAAGCTATGCTTTCAGTTTGGCTCCTCTTATAGCTTTCCCCGATGAAGTTCATTTACGTCTACGACAGTTCGTCGTCCTCTGCTGTTCCGCATGAATTCAATTCAAGAAACAATTTCGAAATTTTCTAGTATCAACGTAATATGAAGCATCCGCATTTTTATCAATATTTTATATACAAACTATCGTGTTTATGATGTTACTTTATCTTCTTCTTCTTTTTTTTAAACTATTTTTAAACAAGAACATTCAACATTATTAACATTAGTTATTATTTTAAGTGAATTCTCATTAAAAATTCATTTTCTTTTTCTTTTAATCTTTTATTTTGATTGTGAAGTTTAATAAAAATCAGCGCATATGATTTAATATTCATATTTTAAAAACTGTCGGATTTAAAACTTATATTTGCGTAAAATAATCTTGAAAATTGAAAAGAAAATAACACAAAGGTGGTTTTTGTGTACAATTTTATAGTCAATTTATATTCACGGTAAAATTTGAATTGTAGCCGTAAAGTAGAAGCAATGCTAAACCGCAATGGTTCTTGTTTCAAATATATGTAGAAACACGTTTATTTAGTTTTTGTAGAAAATTAACAATTAATCAATTGAATACATTGATAGACAAACATATTTAATTAGTCGCTAAAACCGTATACCAAAATAAATACCGTCATCCAAACATGATACGTTATAACATAATAATTATTTAATGGTCATTTTATTTTATTCGTTAATTTAAACTTTTCAATGTTGTAATTTTTATCCAATAAATAATGATTGAACAAATATTTTGCTGTGATTTGCAAACGAAACGCGTATAGTACTTAAAGGGTCATTGCTACGGGTTATAATAAAGAACTGTGATATTATAATAGTAAGAGCAGCGTGAACTTCCTTCTTCGTTGATGTTAAAATAACTAAAATGCACGCAATCATACAACCTTCCAGAATTTGCTTGAGATTTCATACTCTCATCGACATATAGTACAACGAAATGTTTTTGCCGTCTTAGGATTAGTTCCAGAGAACAAGGCATCAATGGATGTTTGCTCTGAATTGTATATTACTGCTCGGTTCCTTCCTGTTAACATAATAATTATTTATTGTTATTCCTGATAACAGACTATAATTTAACAGCGCATGTAATGTCCAAATATTTATGAAATATCTAATTTACAATTTAACTAATTATTCTTATCATGTAATCTTGTTGTAGTTATATGATTAATTTTATTAAACAGAACAATTATATTTTACAATACTGAAAATAACAGATAATTGCTTAGGGGAAGAAAGGAAATCACTTTTTAATTTAATGAAACAAAAGTAGCTATATGTTGAATAATTGTAGCTACAAATTATTTTACACATTACAGTCTTGTTACAATTTTCGTCTTATCCTTATAAACTGTAGGGATTAACAATTTCTCAATTAACCAAATCGATGATTTATCGGACATTTTCATAGGTACAGGTTCATTGACAATTTTTTAGTGCAGTCTAATTTAATTCATTCGTTGCTTTTGTAGAGGCCTAAATATTGATATGAAAATATTTATAACTATAGACTCCTTCCTCGTTGTTCTTTCTAATTAATACCCAGGATATGCTTGATGACTTGATCCTTGATTTTGACTTGAATGAAATTTTATCGTGATCCATCTGGACGTGATGATTCCACAAATTTAAAAACGAAAAAAGAAAGGGGAAAGAACGGTGTTCTGAGGTCAACTTGAAGCAAAAGTGGCGAGCTCAAAACCGAGCAGTGTGTAAACTCTCTTGTAGTCTTAACACGTCACGTTCTCGCAGTGCAAGGCTTTCACCTAGGCTGGTCAAGCCCCCTTCGGCTTCTCCTGTTTCTCTTCACGGAGCACCAGTTTCAGCATAATCTAGCCGAGTGACTTCGTCGATGAAGAAGCCGCGTGCCTCATGTATCTGGCTCGAGAAATCACCAGAATGGACTGATCTAATAGAGAATATACAGCGTTTCCCCGATAATGTTTCTCTGCATATCAATATTCCTCCCATTGATTAAATTCGGACTTACCTGAATAGTTTCTAGTATGTAAAGTAAATTAATTAATTGAGACAAATCGTAAAATAAAAAATTATAAATAACTTAAATATCACATTCATTAGCTATCTATTTACGATCGTATGTTTAGGGGTTAGAATTAAACTAGGGACTATAGAAAAAAATTTTGTGAAATAAATATGAGTAAACTCTGGAAATTAAACTTTGTTTTTTAGGTATTTTCTTTTTAGTTAAAAATTGATTTTTAAGCTCTTTAATTTATTTTCTTGAAAAAACTTATTACTTATGATGATATTCATGCAAGAAGTTAAAAAGAAATGTTGCAAAACCAGAAAATCAATAAGTTGGTATTATTCATTCGAGAATTATATTTTTCTTAAAATAGAGGAAACAAATTGTTTCCTAA